AGGGCGGTGGGAGTTTGGCTTCTCCCCGGGAAGGGTGCAGAGCTTTGGGGTGCCCAGCGCACAGAAACCAGCCAACAGTGGACGGCTGCGGCGACGTGGGGGTCCCGTGGCTCTGCGGGGGTGCTTTGTCCTTGCAAAATTCGATTAAATGTGTTTTGGCTCCCAGAGCGACCCGTGCATGGGCAGTCTCTGCCGCAGGAGAGGGTTCGGTCTGTTGCTCTATTTGCCTTATTACAAGAGAGGTTGGGTCACTGCAGGCTGGTTGCTGAGCTCCGGTCTCCTTCCCTGCTGTGCTCTGCTGGGAAGAGCAGCTGATATCCCAGCGCTCCGATACGGCATCGCTCGCTCTGGCTGGACAAACTGACCAACCTCCCTCTCCCCCCTGTGACACACTGGGGTGATGGTGGAGGCTGGAGGGAGCCGGGAGGGGATGGCGTCTCCCCCAAAAGCTACGCCAGGGTCCACCAGCTTCCACACAGGCAGAAAATTCTGGGAACGAGGAAAAGCTGTCTCCTTCTCTGGCAGCCATCGGGGCTGAGATCCTCAGGCTTCTTGTTTTCCTCAGTTTGGCTTATGCTGTGGCAGGGGTTCAGCTGTTTTTCCTTGCAACTAGCCAACATCTTAGGTGCTCTTCATCTGTTAATCAGCCTAAACTCTTTGTTCTTTCATCCCATTGCTTTCTAATTATTCTCCCTCGTGGTTCCCTACATAAAGCCGCCCTTCTCATGGTGTTTATTCCTTCCAGGTATTTCAGCCTGCCGCATCTGTCCGGCACAGCTCAGAGCCCCTCTCCCTTCCCCTCTTTTTCCTTTGTCTCTTCCCTGCTGTCCCGTGCTGCTGGTCCTGCCCTGGCACACTCTGCCTCCCTCCCAATGCCAGCTAGAAACCTCCCCACCGCATGCTCCCCTGTGGTGTTACTGGCTTTCTGGTCTCAAACCCCCTCACCGTGCCCACCAGGGCTAGCGGGTGACCCCGAAAGGCAACCTGGCTGGTTTCTGCCTGCCTCTCATCCCCGGGGCAGGGCCCTCGCTCAGCCTCCCTTCCTGGCAGCGGCAGGCGCATCTGATCGCCAATAAAGATCTGTAATGATTTCTGCAGTCGTGCTCAGCGTGGTGGTGATTAGCATCGCCCTCGGCTCGTACTCCCGACTGGTTTGCACGTTCTTGGCTCGGATAGAACAGTTTGAACTGATTTTTTCCAGTGAGGATGGGTGGTTATTAAAGGCTTGACTGAAGTTCAGTTATGATGTTGCTGTTTCACCTGCACTAATTACACTGATGCCAGTGTGCGCTTGAAAAGAAGTCAGGTTTTGACGTTTCTCAGATGCTTTTTCATCTTCACACACATCTAGCTGTCAGCTTTGGAGTGGCATTGGGAAGACGTTGGTGTAAGCAGCAGGGCCTTTATGTGCCCTGGCTTTTCTGTGCTGGGGATGACAGTGCCTGTTTGAGCTGGGGACTTTGCAGCTTCTTATTTCTTCTTTCATGTTTTCTCGCTCCTAATTTATTGTTTGGCTTCTGAATGGGGATTGCTCAGCTTTGGCTGGACCCAGCTCAGCCAAGCTTTGCTCCGGCATCGCTCCTCTCCCCTGAGCACCAGGTACCCCAGGAGGGGTTGAACTGGGGGGTCCCTGCCTGAGCCTGTGCCGCCGGGGTTCCCCCTCCCCAGGGTTGCTCTTCCCTGGACCAGGCAGGAGCCCTCGATCCCCTCGTTCCCACCCCTGAGCCACGGCAGCATCTTCAACCAAAGCCTTTGCCCGGCTGCGCCCAGCGCCGCTGCGTGCTGACATTGCTAATTAGGTCAGCGGCTCCCAGTGAATTGGAAGTGGATGCGTTCAGGAGGTGTGGGGGGGGTGATGACGGGGGAGTTATTTGAGGCCTCGTCAACCTAGAAACCCAGAAAAGGTTTCTGGAGCTGCTGGGTGGCTCCGGTGCGTGCTCTGGCTTTTGGCACAGTCATGACCGATGCGCTGGCCGGCTCCCTGCCCCCTCGGGTGCTCAGGTCATGAGTGGTTTGTTGTTGGTTTGTTGTTTTTTTTTTTTTCCCCCTCCTTTAAACTGGGAATTTTATTTAGATGCTGCTTATAATCTGAATTTGAAGCTGCTGACCTCAATCAAGGTCTGAATTTAAAACGCAGCAGTCGAGTGGTACGTGCTTGTCTCGGAGAGGATGCTGCCGAGCCGCGGAGCCCCAGCGCGCCGAGGCTGGCGGGGAGGCACCTTCCCCAGCCCTTACGCTGGTTGTCAGGTCGTGCCGGGCTGAGAAATGCACCTGGCCGGGGTTAAAAGTGCGGGAGGGCTGTGAGATCCCCCCCAGCCCCGGGGAAAGGAGACACGAGCAGCAGCCGTGAGCCCGATGGGCACCTGCCTGCGGGTGAAGCACCTCTCCTGACTGAAGACAGTGCTTCTCCCTGGCATACGGTCCTGAGAGCTTACATCGTGCTTTGCGTGTTACTTTTTCTCCTGTGCTTCTGACATAGGTTAACCAGGGTTTTATTTAAATTGTCTTTCTGTGCGTTATTTGAAAGCCCATTGTCATTTTGAGCAAATCCAAAATGAAAACTACCTAGTGCACAAGAAGTGTTGCTCGCCATTTTGTAATAACGTGTAAAAATCAAGACTCTGAATAAATCAATGGCACATCAGGCATATTTACATAAAGTATATAAAGCGCTGAGAATACTAAATTTAGAGGATAGGCTCTCTGCTTGCAAATCGACATGTTCTAACTGGCTGCAGCCATTAAGACTAAGCCTTTCTTTAGTGAAATAATTCAAAGTATACTTGCAAAACAAGATTGAAATCAGAGATGTAAATAAGGCTTTAACTTGCGCATTTAAATCATGATTCAAACTAAAAACCTGACATTGCTACAATAAAGAAGAATTTCCCCTGTGTTGCGGTGTACAGGGTGTTCGGGACTAGAGCCAAGTCTTGGTGGGCTGTGGTTGACCTGGGGAAACCTGAATCTCAGCGGTGTGGTCCTTGTGCTACTGAGCTAAATGAGCTGGTGGTGGACTCATTTCCCTCCTCACCTTCTCGTTCTCGATGGCCCAGTTAGTAAATTAAGCAGGGGCTTAGGGTGTTGGGGTCTGCGCTTGTTCCCACGCTCCTGCTATTTCAGGTGTTGTCAGGGTTGCGTTTCCTTCCAGAAACGGGGCTCTGCAGCAGGGAGAGCATCGTCCCGCCACTTCCCTCGGGAGAGAAGGGAAGGAAACTTTTAGGGAACTTTTTCAGGAGCTGCCCGTGGTGTGGGGACAGTGGGGCTCAGCCTGTCCCAGGCGTAGCAGGGCTGCGGTGGAGGGATCCGAGCTGGGGGCTCTCCGGGCCGGCGCGGGGGCATCGTCCCCCCCCCCAGCTCCGAATCCCCGCTGCCGGGCTGATGCCTCTGGGCTCTGTCCCTGGGGCTGATAACACCCGGGAGGAGGTGGCACGGTGCCGGCAGCGCCCCTGTCCTGAGCGCATCCTCCCACAGCTCCCGCTCGCCGGCCCCACGGGCACATGCCCGGTGCCTCCGGCACAGCCCGGCTGCCTGCTGCTTTTCCCCGTGCCATCCCCTTCATCCCCACCCAGCTCAGCTCTCCCCGCAGCTTCGCTTGGGCGTGATGCAAATACCTCCATTGTTTCTGCTTCTGCACCCAGGGGTGTCAGCTCAGTTATTTCTGTTCCTAAACATGGGCAACTGCGCTGGATTTTCTCAACTGGGGGGGGGTGGAAAAAATTTCTCCTTGAAACAGGGTGGTTGGCTGCAAACTGTTTTGTTTGGTTTGTTTTTTTTTTTTTTACCCATTTCTCACTGAGCCCCTTTCCCCACATGTGTTGGTGCATGTGGGGAGACCCAAAACCCCAAACCTGCCGGGTGTGGCACGAGCTTGGCACAGGGTTTGCTGTTGAGGAAGGATGCTCCGAGCAGGATGGGAGCAGCAGGAGCTCCAGCTCTGAAATAAGCCCCCTTTGAAGTCTGGGATGTCACTTAATCTCACTGCTTTTGTTGAGGTTTGTTCCATTTTGTGTAATAATAAATATCGTAGCATGCTAAAAATAACCGTTAAACATAAAGAAAGAAGTAAAGCTGCTTTGGGCCCCGAATTTCCAGTTTAATTCCCTTCTCAGGGAAGCTCAGACTTTCTGAAACAGGTTTAGCGGTGCCTGGGCTGCGCGGCTGGTTGGGGTTTGTGTGGTGCTGCCGTCCCAGGGAAGAGCCGGTGGCAAGGGGGTGGTGCAGGGCAGGACAGCGATGGGCTGGAGCTGCTGCTCTCCCGGCATCACGTCAAGGGTGGAAGGTCCTTGCGGAGGCGCTGGGGGCACCCCAAGAGGATTAGGGGGGCGCAGAAAGTGGCCGGGTCAGGGACCTGGGGATGTCTCACACCCTCTGTGCTCAGGGATGCTGGCGGTGTGGGGTTTTAGCGTTGCTGACGGTTGTGTGTGGTGGAGGGGTTCACGTTGCTGGCCCCCCCCCCCGGCGCTGGGCAGCGCGGTCCTGCCCGTCCTTGCGATGGGCCGGGATTCCGCAAAGCCACCGGCCGCGGAGGATGCTCAGCCTGGGCTGGGTTTCTCAGGGGGGGGTTTGTACGTGCCGGTGCCCGGCAGGGACGAGCAGGGGGCTGCGGGGAGTCGTTGCCAGCCCTTGGCAACCGGGGCAAGTGCCTCGGCGCGGCTCCGGTGCCCGTTTGGTGAGAGGGCGGCTGCACGCGGTACAGCTCGTCCCGCCGCCCGCGCGGCTCCCAGCCCACGTGCTGAGTCAGTGCCTCGGCGTGGGGCGGGGGGGGGGGGGGGGGCAGCTCCAATGAGTAAGGGTGGGTTGGAGGGGCCACGCACGCACACGTGTGCGTGTCCTGTGCTGGGGGGGGGGGGGGGGGGCCCTGCAGGCACTCTCCCTGCTCCCCCACGGCCGCACCGCTGACCCCTTTCTGGAGGGTGCTGCACCATCCCCTACCCTGCCCAGGCGGGGCGGGCACAGCGGTGAAGGCAGCCCCCTCTCTGCTCCTCTTCCCGTTCCAGTACATCGAAGCCATCAGCAACAAGCAAGGCGAGCTGGAAAACTACGTCTCCGACGGCTACAAGACGGCTCTCACGGAAGAGAGGAGACGGTTCTGCTTCCTGGTGGAGAAACAGTGCGCGGTAGCGAAGAGCGCCATCACCTACCACGCCAAGGTGAGCCGGCGCTGCCGGTGTGCCGCCACACTCCCGCGGCCGCTGGGCTGCAGATCCCGGTCGTCCCCACTGCCCCGTCCCTGGGTGGGTGCTCCTGCTGTGAGCCGTTGCCTGTGGAACAGGCCGGTATCCTGAAAGCCGCAAGTGGTGCAGCCCCTGCGGTTCGGGGGGCGGAGGGGAAGGAATGCACCCGTGGGTGACCCGCGGACGGGGTGCCCTGGGAGGGGCAGGGCTGAGCTGCACCTTTCCCTGACGAGGGGACCTTTCCATCTCCCACGGGTGCCGCTCTGCGTTTCAAGCAGCTCCTGGCTGCCCCAGGCAGGATGGGGCTGCGCTCGCCTCTCCTGCGTGTCGTGGTCACCGAGATCCGAGGGTGCTGCCCCGGCAGAGGCTGGTCAGGTTCTTCCTGCACCAGCTTGGGCTTTGCAAAAGCGGAAGAAATGCAAAGCAGAGACGTTCCCGCGTGGAGTCAGAGCAGCGCTGCCTGCCTGGCAAGGCTCCCTCCAACCCTCGCCTTACCCCCTGGCCTTAGCCAAGGTGCACATTAAACCAGCGATTAAACTGCTGCTCCAAACCCTCTCTTGCCCATTCCTGGCAGCCCGCACCTCCCAGGCCGGGGGCTGGAGCTGCTGCCTGGGCCCCCCTGCGCTGGTCCAGAGCAGAATCCATCCGGATGAGGGCTGGGAGCGTCGGCGCTGCTCCCGCAGCCTCGTGCTCCCATTCTGGTTGTTCCCCACCGCCACCCCCCGTCGCTCACAGCACCCATCTGTCACCGCCGCGCTTGGCACCGGGGAGCAGGAGAAGGAGTTTGGATTAGTCAGCACTGTCCTCACGCCGCGCTGCGGGCTGGATCGATGCTTGGCATATACGAACTCCTCCTGTAGTGCTGGGGGGCGGGGAGGAAACACGCCACCCCCCCCCGGGCTGGGGTGTCAGCAGGCACGAGGGTGCTGGCACCTTGCAGCGTGGCTACGGCACGGTGAAACCAAAAACTTCTTGCAGCGGCAACACGTGGAGGGGGATTTTGCAAGAGAGACTCTGCAGGTGGCTCGGCCAGAGCGCGGTGGGCGTATGTGCGACGTGGGCGCCCGGCCCCGCACCAGCCTGACAGCCGGCGTGGGCCCTGCCAGCTAAAACCACCGTCCTGCAGCTCCCGGGGGACGCTGGCAGCAGCCAGAGCCGGTGGCCGATGGCAGGGAAATGTTCTAGGACTTTGAAATTGGCTTTAGAGGGTTTTCTGATACGTGGGGACCGTTGTCTCTAGATGAGACTGGCTGTAAAGCCATGCAGAGGCACCGGGTCACCATCTGCTGTGGGGCTAGCTGAGGCTAAATAAGAGCAAGTTTAGCTCCTGGATTTTTTTTTTCCTTTTCCCGTGGCTCGGTGCACGGCGGTGGATGTCTGTCAGTCCTGCCCACAGACAGGGTTTAGCTGCAGGGACCAGAGGCTATCGGGGCCGAGCAGCCCTAAACAAGCAGCTCATCCCTCAGGACCTGGGTGGCAGCGCGAAGTAGGGGCTGTGCCCTGCCAAGCCTTTGATCAGGTTTTATTTCTCTGCTCAGTCAAGCGGTGCTGCTCTACCCGAGCCCAGCACCCTGCCCAGCTTCCTACAGCCCTTCTGCTCCTGGAGCTGCCTTGTGCAGGATATCTCGGAATAAGCTGGGGAGGTGAATGACCTTTTCTTTCCCTCCTTTCCATTTTTTATGACCCCTTCCTGGCTCAGCTGCTGTCAGTGAAGTCCCCGTGTTTTACCTCGCCCATGCCATGGACAGGGGAGTCGGTCAATCTTGTGGCCAGGACCAGGCCAGCTCCAGATCCCGTGGTGCTGCCCGGGGAGGGGTGCAGAGGGTTCTCTGCACCCCTGTGCCCTCACACCTCGTTTTTCTCCATTGCAGGGGAAGGAGATGTTGACACAGAAGCTGCCGCTGTGGCAGCAGTCCTGCTCAGATCCCAACAAGATCCCGGACCGCGCTATCCAGCTGATGCAGCAGATGGCTGCCAGCAGCAACGGCACCATTATGCCCAGCCCTCTGTCTACATCCAAATCCAACCTCATCATCTCTGACCCCATCCCTGGTGCCAAACCTCTCCCTGTCCCCCCAGAGCTGGCACCTTTTGTAGGAGTAAGTATCTCCGTGGTGGAAGTTGTCCTGCCCTTCCGAGCAAAACTGGAGGGATGAGCCCGGGCCGGTGTCACCGTTGTCCTTCAGCAAGTTGCCTTTTGATGGATTCTCGTCGGTGCCCTGGGGTGGGCAGCTCCCTGCACTCGCCGCCCTGGGATGCGGGAAGGAGCACGGCGTGGCTGACATGGGGAGGGGCAGCCTGTCCCGTCCCATCCCGCCTGGGTTGCAGAGCTCTGGAGGGGCAGGGGCTACCGGGGGGTGTGTGGGGGGGGACTTGGGGGGTACCTGTGAGCTGGTCCTAGAGCTGTGGAGCTGCACTGAGGTACCCCAGTAACTGCAGGTGCTTGGGAGTGACCCATGGGGTGAAAGACCCTTCTGAAAAGGGCGTCTCCCGTGATTTGGGGGCACAAGCTGAGCAGTAGAGCTCAGGAGGGATTTATCAGGTGCAAGGCGGCTTGGAGCAGTAAAATACCGTAGAGGTGACCCCCACTGCTGCCCCCAGGGCAGTTTGTCTCAGGTGGGGAACTAAACCCAACAGGCTGAAGCTCTGCTCTGCTGTGAACCCCTTTCCCTGGAGCTGTGTCCCGCTGCGGGAGCTGCGGTGGGATGCCCTAATGAAGACGTTCCCCGTCTTCCCCCCTCCCTTTCCTCTCTCCGTAGCGCATGTCGGCGCAGGAGGCCATGCCGGTGATGAACGGAGCCTCAGGCCCAGACAGTGACGGGTACAACCACTGGTCTGAGATGAAGCCAGCACAGCCCAAATCTTTATCTCCTCCCCAGCCTCAGAAGCAGCTGAGTGACTCTTACTCCAATACACTCCCAGTTCGCAAAAACGTGCCGCCGAAAAACAGCTATGCATCAGGTGAGGCCCCGGGGGCTCCCGGGGTGCCGGTGCTGCTGGGGGGGAGCGGTGCTGGGGGCCGGTCGCAGGGTCGGCGGGGATACTGGGGGGGGGGTGGAGCAGGGACCAGCAGCATCCCTCCAGCGTCGAGTGCCACTTGTGCCTCCGGACCCGGGGCTAGGGAAGGAGTAAAGCTGGGCTCTGCCGTGGGTTTTCGGCTGGGTGGGGTTTGGCTGGGCAGGGTTTCAGCCCACGGACAGGATTTCCAGGAGGAAAAGTCTTGAGGAATCTCGCACAAGGAGGCTTTTCCCTTCACCGTGGCTGGTGGGCAATGCCAAGAGCAGTGGCCTGGTCCTGCTCGTTGAGGGGGAAGGTGTGAGGCACGCTGGAGGTTTTATTGGCACCTGGGGTAAAATAAGCAAGGTTGGGGGGCTGCCCTGCCCCAGGCCGTGCCTGGGTATGGCCGCGGGGTCAAGGACTTGGGGCACTTGTTGGTCTCTGTCTCCCACCAGCTGAAAACAAGACGCTGCCGCGCTCCAGCTCCATGGCCGCAGGGCTCGAGAGGAACGGCAGGACGAGGGTGCAGGCCATTTTCTCTCACGCTGCCGGAGATAACAGCACCCTCCTGAGCTTCAAGGAGGGTGACCTCATCACGCTGCTGGTGCCGGAGGCCAGGGATGGCTGGCATTACGGAGAGAGCGAGAAAACAAAAATGTGAGCGCTGTGGCCGCCCCCCCCCCCATGAACCGCCGCACCCCGGGCGCAGCCTCTCCTGGATCCTCCACGAACAAGCGTGGGTTTGGCTCCATCCCGTGCCTTTGCCTTTCAGGAGGGGCTGGTTTCCTTTCTCCTACACGCGGGTCCTCGACAGCAACGGCAGCGAGCGGGTCCACGCAAGGTAGGAGCATCACCCGGGTGGGTCCCTGCACCCCTCCCAGGTTTGCAGGCTTGGGGTGGGGATACTCCACTTCCCCCCCCCCCCCAAGACACGACGGGAGCCGTCAGGAATAACTCCCGGCACAGGCAGGCGGGAGGTTTGGCCAGCGGGTCCCCTCTCGTGGGTATGGATGGGCAGCCTGGGGTGGGTGCTGATGCCTCTGCTTTGGGTGCCCCCGCCCAGCCTGCAGCAAGGGAAGAGCAGCAGCACCGGCAACTTGCTGGACAAAGACGACATCGCCATCCCGCCGCCCGACTACGGCATGGCCTCCCAGGCCTTCCCGGCGCAAGGCGTCAACACCTTCAAGCAGAGGCCGTACAGCGTGGCCGTGCCCGCCTTCTCCCAGGTGAGCCCGCGGGGCAGCGGGGGCACTTTTTATAAACAGGGGGGCGGGGGGGGATTGCTTGAGCAAATCCTGGGGCGTTAGTCCCCGCTGGAGCCCGGCTGTCCGCGGCATCTCCGGTCCCGCCTGTGGTTTTGAAGCAGAAGGATGAAGCGTGGTCTCCCCAGTCGTGGTGTGGTGTAGACCCCGTGGAGGGGAAGGAGGGCTGCTCTCCAACCTGTGTTCGTTGTTTGTAGGACTACCTAATGCCCTATGGTTGTGCAATTAAAGACTATTCCAGTGGCCTCTGCCAACCACCCTCCGCTCACTACAAGCCTTACACTAGGTCGACAGCTGTAAGTCCGAATGCACGCAATGTTTCCCTTGGGATTTACGGGCAGTTGGCCGTTTTTGCCTGGCAACCTGTGTGCCTTGTCCGGGGCCCCGTCTCCTGCTGAAGATCTCTCCTGGGGAGAAGGGACAGGGATGCAGGGAGGCAGCGGGAGAGGAGACCAGTGGATGGGGAGGACGGGCCAGTTTGGCTCACCTGGGCGGAACGGGCAAGGCACGGGGAGCGAGTGGAACAAAATGGCACCGTAAACCCCCAAAGGAGAACATTTGCTGACTCCATGGGAGCCTCCCACCAGAAACAGGCTGTTCACAGGCAGCTGGAAGCGTTTTCTCTGGCGTGTGCCAATTCAAGCCGGTGACAGTCCCGTGGGGATGCTGGGGCGAGCGTGCGGGGCTGGGGCAGACGCTGGCCAGGGCTCTGGTGGTTGGCCAAAATGAGCTCGGGGCTTCTTGGATAACGAGTTGGGGAGGAGGCACGTGTGGACGAGATCGGCTTAACCCAGGAGCCATTGGTGTAGTGGGGCTTCCCCACCAGAACGAGCGTGGTGGGATGAGCCACGTTGGCTTCCCCGGAGCGCTCGGCACGTGCCGGTGGGTGGGGAGAGGATGGGGAGGGGGAGAAGCGGCCATGCAGCACCCGAGCCTTCAGCTCCAGAGAGGTGGCAGCTCCGGCCAGGGTCTGACCCCCTCTGCAAGGAGGGGGACAGAAGCGCAGCCCCACATCTTGCTGTTTGCTGGGTTTTCCCAGCAGGGTTTGCTGCTGGATTTGGGGTTGTGTGACTGGGAGTGTTCCTGGGACGGTGGGAGCACGGGTCTCTGATCCCTGGTGCATGGCCAGCTCGGACCAGTGACTCCCACTCCTTCCTGGAGCGGTCCTGTGTTTGTCATGGAGAGCAGAGCTGCTCCGTGGCCATATCCCAGGGCAGGCCCTCACCCGAGGAACAACATCCTCGAGGGACATCCTCTGAGCCTGGTCCCCATCTGCTCCTCAGGCCAGTGCCGTCCTTCCCCGCCGCAAAGGCTGTTCAGTACCGGCTGAAGGAGAAAATGGTCCAAAACCCTGTGGGTTTCTGGTGGGAATTAATACAGACAAAACGTGTCTTTCCACAGACCATTTCACTGGTGTGTCTCAGACTTGTTCAAGCCCTTTTCGAGTGTCTTGCATCTCGAAAGTGGCTGGAGCTCTGTACCTCGTGGGGCTGGGGCGAGCAGACTGGGGCTCTCCGGCTGTTGCTTCCCCTTGTCTCACCAGATGAAGTCCCGCTCCGAAGGGAACGATGCAACGTTACTCTCTGCTGTCTAAATCCCATTTGAATCATCTCCATAGCTCCCTTTCCTCGCCAAGTGCATTGGCTCTCGGCCCCGGCATCCCTGGGTCCCGATGCACTTTGGTGTGTTCGTGCAACCCTCCAGCGGCACCTGAACGGGCACAGCCCCCGGCCCCCACCCCTCACCACGCTTCCTCCCCTCCTCTCCGCAGGGTCTCGACGACTACGGGACGAGGTCCGTCAGCAGGTAAGACTTCACCTTCCCGTCGCATCACCTGAAGGGGAACTGTTGGTGTTGCTCTGGGTTGAAGCCGTGGTGCCGCGTCCCGGGGCGGGGGGTCCCTGCGTGGGCTCCCTGGGGGACCGGCAGTGGCCGGGATGGGGCCGTGTGGTGGAGGACGACACGGTTGCAGGGTCTCAGCTGTGAGTGTGGAGGGACCCAGCGTCTCCCGGGGCGGGGGGCAGGTCCCCGGGCCAGCCCCCACCATCCCACACCCCTTGTGCACCTCCCCAGCCTCCTCTCCGGGGCTTGCGCCCAGATAGCAAGGCCACAGAGAGCGCACGCTCCCGGGGTCTTTCCCCAGCCCCTTCTCCCCCCCAGCAGCTCCTCCATCCCCATTCCCTCTGCCTTGGAGCCGCCCCGCCTCGCTCTCAAGGATAAACCCCCAAAGCCCCCAGGCACGGGCTTCCAGCAAAGCAGTGCCAGGCAGGGCTCAAGCTCGCCGCTCCGCTCGGTGCGGGGGGTGCTGGTCCCCCCGCCGTGCCGGGGGGGTCCTGGGCAGGGTGCTGCTTCGTCCTGGCCACTCTGGCAGTCTCCTGTGCTTTGTTCCGCAGCGGCAGCGGGAGTTTGGTATCAACGGTGTGAGGACACCTTGGCTAGCGGCGGCCCCTTGCTGCTTGGAAGAGCTTTCTGCTTCTTTTCCTCCCTTTTTTTTTTTTATTTTTTTATTTTTTTTTTATTTTCGTTCCCCCTCGTTTCTCTTTCCCTACTTTCGGATCTTAAACTCTCGTGATCTTCAAGGAAACCATGGTGCTTCTCCACCCCTCCCTGGTGTTCACAGTGCCCTTGTTTCTGAAGCCTTTTCAGAGCAGAAACTGCCAATCGGTCTGTGCTCGCTTTGAAGCAGCCTGGATGCAGTTTACACTTTAGTGGGACCCGGTTTTTGTACTCCTGTGTGAATGTTAGCGATGCACTATCCCTCCTCGGGGGGCTGCGCGCCAGCCGCCTCGCGCGAGCCTGGACAAAACCTCCCAGACTGGAACAAATATGCATGGCCTCTGGTGTCCGTACTGTTACCGAGCATCCGGGATGCCCGCGCCCGGGATGCTGTTCCCTCGGGGGGGGGGGGGGCAGCAGCCCCGCGTCCCCCCCTCCTCGGCCCCGATCCGCTTCCATCCAACCACCCGCCGCGGTGGCCTTGGGAGAAGCGGATGGTGCAGAGCCCCCGTCCCGGGGAAAGGGCTGGGGTCCCGCCGGCCGTGGGGCGCAGCCGGCAGCCCCCCTGGAAGGGTTACTCCTGGTTGTTTTATAAATATATATATATATTTTTTGTAGCAAGGTATTGTTACCTCACGTTAGCGCTGGGGGCTGGTGCGGAGCCGGCCGAGGACGCGCTCGCATCCCTAAACGGGGCTCGGGCGAGGCAGCGCCCGCGCTGTGCCCGGGGGGCTCGGCGGCGCCCGGGGGGCTCCCACCCCGGCGCTGGGTCGGCGCTCGGGGTCCCGCTCCTGCGGCCGAGCCCGGCCGTAGCCCTCCCAGTGCCCGTGGCCTCCTCCACCGCAAAGCTGTACACGCTTTCTTTTTTCTGATGTGATTTTTAAAACCTCTTACATTGCCTGTTTACTGGGACATTGCTGGCAATACAGACACACACACGGACAAGTTTTTGTTTTATATACTTGCCTATGGGCAGATTGTAACAAAACCCTCCTGCATCAATGTCCTAATTTTGCTAAAGATTTTTAACCCAGGATATTTCATGCTGAATGACTGAATGTAGAGGGGGAAAAAGAAAACAAACCAGCCTAGCAAAGCCTGTATGGAGATTGTAAAGTGCTGAAAAACCTTTTTTAAAAGCCAGAGAGAAATGTGCCCTGTACTGAGTTATTGTTTGAATAAAAGTTTTATTTATTGCATTGAGCTGGGCCTCGGTGTCTTTTTCGGCTGCCATGCCTGTGTGCTGCCCATCACCGCCTGCCATCGCCCATTGCATATTGCCATGCCTTTTTTTTTTTTTTTTTTTTTTTGTGTGTGTTCTTTTTTATTTTTGGCCCTTCTCTCCGTCTCCTCAGCATTAGGAGGCCGTGGGAGACCCTGGCTGCTGCCTGCCTGCGCTCAGCCCCTGCGGGCTTTAAACAGCTTTGCTGAACGGGAGCAGCCAAAACTGTTTAAGGGCCGGGTCGCTGCCCCGTGTGCGGCTTGGGGGGCTGCTGCTGCCGCTGCTGCATGCCCAGGCTGCGGCTGCGCTTTCCCAGCCCGCCGGTGGTGGGAAAGCGGCGATGGCCGGGGTGGGGGGAAGGAAGCCACCCCCCTCCCTTCCGTAGCCCCCGCCATGCCCGGCTTCTCCTCTCCGCAGGTGGCTCCCAGCGCCCGGGCTGGCCATGCCCTTCCTTCCCCTCCTCGCAGGGAGCCGGCGGGCAGCACCAGCAACTCAATAAACACAACTTTTCCTCTTTTTTTTCTTTTTTTTCTTTTTTTTTTTTTTTTCTCCCCTCTTCTTTCTCCTCCTGTTTCCTCTGCCCGGAGGTGCTGTGTGCGGTGGGCTCTCGTGCCGGCGTGGCCACCAGCTCGTAGCCCAGTTCCTCTCCTTAACCAACACCTTTTGTTCCCATCAAGTCATCGGAGCGCGTCCCGGTGTCCTCCAACCTGCCTTCTCTTTCCCTTGCAGCCCCGATGTTGAAGTGGCCAGGTTTTGAGGTGCCCCTGCCCGTAGTTAGTAAGTTGACGGTCTCGGGGGCGGGGGGGGGCTGAGCCCTGGGTGCGCTGGCGCTGGGCAGCGGGTGACGGCCGCGGGGCTGCGTGGGGACGGTGCCACCGCTCTGCTTCCCCCGCCTTTCCCCGCTCCCCGCAGAACGAGGAGCCCCCCCCCTTCCTCGGTCGCCGCTTGGCCCCGGCCCGGTGGCGGGAGCTCCCGGTGTAACCGCGCTGCATCCCCACGGCTCCTCGTGCCGCCGCCTCGCCGGGGCTGCGCTTCCCAGCTGCTGCTCCTGCCGCTTCCCCTGCTCCCCGTAACCAGCCTCTTTGGTCGTAGGTCTCCGGTGGCCACCGGCCCCAGCCCTCTCCCGTGGGATGGAGCAGATCCGCGCTAATGACGAGTTTTTTGAGCAGCTTCTTTTGGTTGTAGACCGCGCCTCGGGAGCCTCCTTGTCCCGACCCTGGTCGCGGCCCTGGGGCAGGGATGGAGGAGTTTCCCCCGGAGCCCAGACCCTGCTCGCCGGCCCTGCAGAGCCCCTGAGAGCCCTTTTCCCATTTCTCTTTGATCTGTGAGCTGGTTTTCCTGCGGCTGCCGGAGCAGTGGCTCTCCTCTGCCAGAACAAAAATAGTTAAATAATAATCCCTGGTGACTCATCAAAGCAACCTTTCCTCTCCCTCCAGTCCTGAGAATCTATTTTGGCATCCTGGGGGGAAAAGTGATCTAAGAATCTGCATTAATTAGGTGGGAAATTAATTGCCCTATTTTTAAGCAAAAGCCATTTATCGTTTGAGGAAAACAAAAGCGTGCTTGGAGGGGTGAGGGATGGCAGGAGAGAGAGAGGGGCTGGGGGAGGCAGTGCGTGCCCTTCCTGGGGGGCTGGGGGGACCGAGCCTCGTCCGCCCCACGGGAGGTGGTTGAGGATGTCCCAAAGCTGCTCAGGTCCAGGTGGAGGGAGCCAGTAACCGCAGCTGCCCCTGACGTGGCTTAACCCCACGGTCACGTTTGTCTTGCTAACAATTTACCTGTGTCGGGGATGATGGGGCTGTGCCCGTTGCGGGGAGGGACACACCTGCAGTGGCAGTGCTGGGGACCGAGCGGGGCGTGTTGTAGCAGAAAGGAGCGGGTCTGTGCAGCTCCCCGGGGAGGGCTGGGGGCAAAGGGTGGGCTGGGGTCGGCCAGGCAGGGAAGGGCTGGCTGGCTGCAGGTGAGGCAGGCGGAGGGGGGGGGGGGGCTGCAAGGAGGGCAGGGGGCTGCAGGGCTGCTCCCTCGGCCGCTGTGCCCGGTGCAGGTTTGGACCTGCTGGCCCCGGGGCAGCCCAGGGCAGCCGTGCACCGCAGGCGGCCGACGGTACCCCCATGGCTGCTTGCCCCCCCCTGCCCGGTGGCCATGGGACGGTGCTGGGGACAGCCCAGGTAGGTAAAGCCCGGCTCAGCCCGGCTGCTCAGGGCTCTGGCTGGGGCCGCTGCCGCTCCTGGGGGTGGCCGAGGCTGGCTGGCCGGGGGGAGCCGGGCTCTGCTTGGCCCCCTGGCCCTGCCGAGCTCCTCCGGGCGCCCTTCCTCTCCCCACGCTTTGCCTCGCCGACATTTGGCTTCTCCAAAGGCTTCGCAGCCGGCGCGGCACGGAGCTGCAAGCTCTGCTCTTGCCCCCGGTGTCCCCACGTGTGCCACGGCAGGCAGGGAGCCAGACCCCCCCCAGCTGCTCCCCCATAGTGGCACGGGGCAGAGCCGGGCGATCTCGGGGTGCTCCCGTGCGTGGGAAGGGCTGGAGCAGCCTGCTGGAAAGTGGGGGAGGCGAACATCCCCCACGCAGCAGCTCTTGCGGGTTCACCTCTTACACCCAACGCGGCTTTAATGGTGAGAGAAGCAGCCGAGCTGGCCAGGGGCTCTGCAGGGCAGAGCAGCTCCAGCTTAACCCCTTCCCAAATGCTGTTGCCCCCACCCCCGGGCTGGTGGAGGGGACAGGGCTGGTGGCGCCAGGCTCACCGCCAGCCCCGCTCGGGCTTGGGCTCAGCCTCGCAGCGCAGCCACTGCAGCCAAAGCTTTTTGGGGGGGACGGGGGAGGTCTTGCCAAGTTTCCACTGGCTGTGCCGGTGCCCCATCCTCGCCGCCATCCCCCCCCGCTAAACCCTGCCTTCCTCTTTCTCTGCAGAAACCCCTTCGCCAACGTCCAGCTGAAGCCAACGGTGACGAACGACCGCTCGGCTCCGCTCCTCAGCTGATCCGCGAGCGCTGGCGCCCGCCGTGCCGCGCAGCACTCGCCGCCTCCTCGCCGCTGCATGTCCGGCTCCCCAGGACTTCATTTTTAGGCGGCGTTTATTTAATCCTGCTGCTTCGAAAGCCAAAGGCTTAAAGCTAGTGCCCCAGCTCTCTCTTCGCTAGACCCAGCTTGCTCCTCGCCGGTGGCAGAGGGTCAAACCGCTGCCGTGTGGCCTGTCCTTTGCCTGCGCAGAGCCAGGGTGATGGCAGCCCCTCGCCCCCCCACCTCACCCCCACACACACACACACTCTCCCGGTATGTCCCGTAGCTGGGTTTGCTTCTAGGCTTAGCAGCACCTCACCATGGCTGGGGGAAACAGCCTCAGCTGGCAGAGGCAAGCTGCGCTTTGGGCTGGTGGTGATGGCAGAGGGGCGATTTCCCCCCGCCCCCCCCCCGCCCCGGTTGGGAGGGACCCCTGGGACAGGCGGGAGAGCTGGGATCCCCTGTGCAAGCCAAGGGGGGGGTGGAGGGAGATGTAGGCAGCCCCCAGGCTCCTGCGAGACCCCGGCCCACCCCCCCCCCCCGGCCCCAACCCCAGGTGCTGGGATGCCGGCGGCGGGGTGCCGGCACTGCAGCCCCCGCGGGGACGGCTCCACTCCCAGAGCTCCTGCAGCACTAGGACTGTGTGTAGTAGGGTATTACGGTACTGCTGTAAAATATAAGCTAGAAACAAAAGACAAAGCAAAAACAAACAAAAAAAAAAAAAAAAAAAAAACCACTTTTGGAGGTGAGGGCTCTGTTGAAGCGTGCCTTGGGGTGCCTGGGGCCGTGGGGTGCCCGGCCGTTGAAGGGGTGCTCCCCCCCAAACAGGCTCTCCCATCCAGACCTCTCGCTTGGCTGTTCGCTCTTCCTCTATTACTAGGGCTGCATGAGAGAGAGAGAGAGAGAGAGAAATATAGATAAATATACGTACATATATATAAATACTTGCTAAGCTTATTGCTGGGGTGCGTGCCCCCGAGGGAGCCGGCTCCTGGACCGTTCCCGCAGCTCCCGGCTGCTGCTCACCCCGCGCCGAGCCAGCACGGGGAGGGGGGGTCACATCCCTGCTATGGGAACGGGGAGAAAAGGTTTTTCCAGGCAGGAAGGTCATCTCCGGTGGGTGAGCGGTTGCGTGCCGGCCAGCATGGGGTGAGAGGGGTGGGCAGTGCCCGCCCAGGTTTTGCCTTTTCCATCGTAGTTGTCATTTTGCACTTTTTAATCGGGGGTGCACCGCAGCCCGGTCAGCGGGTGCTTTGCTGAGCACAGAGACCCCCGGGGGGGGGGGGGGGGGGGGGGGGGGGGTGGCTCGCTGCTGGTGGGGGCTCATTCCCGGTCAGACGTGATGGCTCATCGCTGCTGCGTCTCCTCTGATGTTTTTTTTGCAGCTCTGCCGCAGGGAATTGGCTTCTCCTGCGACCACCCAGGCTCCGGTTGGGCACAAGGGTTGGGGGGGGTCTCTGGTTGATGCCACTTCTTCCTCTCCCCAGCAGATGGATGGAGGGGGGGGCAGCCAGACAGGGCAGGGGCAAAGGGAAGGGGCACGGGACGGTGGGTGGGAGAGGGCTGAGGGCTCACAGCCCGGGGTGGGGGGGCCAGGCCTGGGGTCCACCTTGGCTGCTGAACCAGCATTGTCCTCTTCCAGCCCCGTGCCGGGGGCTGCTGCTCCCCCCCAGGACCCCTGGGCAGCCGCCCCGGGCTCCAGCCAGCCCCCCCCCAGGGCTCTGCTGCACCTCCCGGCTTGGTGGTACCTGCAAGATGTAACCTGAAATAATTTTTTATGAGACAAAGTAATTTATGAGCAATAAAACTCTTCCACCACCACCATCCTCCCTGCTCCAACCCCCCCGTGTTTTCCTTGGCCGGAGGCATCTGCCTGGCCCCGGAGCATCCTCGGTCTCCAGCCGGGGCCAGAGCTGGCAGCTGCCTGCGTGCCGGGCAATGAGCGGGGCAGGAAACGGCTTAAGATATTTTAAAAACTTTATTATTGGCCCGATGATATTTGACACACATGCTGGGAGCTGTATGGAAATCAGCACTGATAAAAAATACAGCAATTATGACCCGTATTGATAAAATAGACAATGTAATAATAGCCTTTCTATTAAAAAAAAAAAAAATATATATATATATATATATCCAAGACACAGCTCTGTCCTCATGCTGCCCTCCAGAGGCAGGGACCTGCGGCGCCATAGACCAAACCCGGGCTGTGGGGGGGGAGGCCCAGGGAGGGGGGTGACACGAGGGTTGGGGGGGCCAGGACCAGCACCCCACCCCTCTGGGTGCCTGGGGAGAGGGGAGGGTCGAGCAAAACCCCCCCCCCCCCCCGGTAATGCTGAGCAAAGCCCCCCCGGCAATGCCGGCAGGGGTAGCAGAGAGGTGGGGGGGTGGGGGAGGTTGTGCAGCAGCGTGGGTGCTGCAGGAAGAGCACCCACAACCCCCCCCGTCATATCCTGCTCCTGCACCACCCCACACCGATGGGTGCTGCACCCCAGGGTGGGCTAGGGAGGGGGATTGTCCCCCACCCCAGCTGCAAAGCAGCCAGTGAAGAGCAAGAGCAGCGCTGAGGCCGGGGGGGGGGGGGGGGCTTGGAAGTGGGGGGGTCACAAGCCAGGTTGGAGCTTAAATAAAACACTTAAATAATTGCAATCGGTGATTCGTCAACCGGCTGCTGTGGGACAAGCAACAGGAAGGGGGGGCACAGGGCAGGCACAGCTGCCCGGGATTTTGGGGTTGGGGTCCCCCTGGGACCCTGGCTGTCCCCTGTGGGGTGGGGGGGCACAGCCCCCTGACCACCGAGAGGGTCCCAGCTGGGGACCCCGGCGGGGGGAGAAGGGGGAGAGCGAGTCCCAGGCTGGGCCCTGAGCTGTGCCAAGGTGGCACAGTGGCCCAGGGTGGGGGGCACAGCCCACCCCCCCCCCCCAGCCCCCGCCTTGGCACCAGTCCATGTGGGTGCATATGTGTGTCTGTGCACACGTGTGTCGTGCACAAGGACATGTGCCCCACATGCAGGGGTGGCAGGAGCTGGGGGGGGGGGGCTGCAGGACATGGGGTGGGGGGGGCGGGGGGGGGGGGGTCATCTCTCACCTCAGGGTTTGGTCTATAGACCCCAAAGGCACCAGCCCTGATTTCAAGGTTTCGCTCAGCTCCGCTTACTTCCATTTCCTTCTGGAAGCTGGAATTGCACAATTATCCTAAGCCTCAAATTAATTAAAAAAAAAAAAAAAACCAACAAATAAAAAAAAAAAGAACCTGAACAAAGAACCGCGAGCACCCTCTGCCCCACCCCCCACCTCCCCCCCCCCCCGACTCATTATGTCTCTTTGGCAGCAATAACTTAAAATCGCATCAATGTGGGTTCAGTCAACAGCAAGTTTTGTTTTTTTCGGGTGGGTTCGGGTTGGTTTGTCATTTTGTCTGTTTTCTTTTTTTTTTTTTTTTTTTTTATCCTTTTCTTTAAATACAAAAATAGTCAGGTCGGCAGGTCCCCGGGGGGCTGCCCCTCATGGGGGCATCTGTGACACCCCCACCCCCCCCCCCGCCAGCCCTCCCCATGCCGCTCCCAGCCACAGCGGGATGGGGGGGTCCCACCAGACCTCGGGGTCCCTTGCCAGGCCGGGACTGCACCCCAAAAAGCAAGAGCGGGGGGAGCTCCCTGGCCCCCCCCACCCCAAGCTGTGCTGCCCACCCCCAGCACGGAGAGTGGGTGCACTGGGGGTGACATCAAGCAGCAGCCCCTCGCTTGGGAACACCGTGGGGCAACCGGCAGTGGGGACAAGGCCAAGTGCACGGCCCGGTGTCGGGGGGCGGGGGGGGACAGCAGGGGGGTGTGGGGGCAAACACCGCCTCGGGGAGCACACGAGGGCAAGAAGCCAAGGGCGGGGGGGGGGGGGAAACTTCACTGGGGAGCGGGGGGACACGCCGCAAATGTTAGCAAGGTCAGGGCACTACCCTTTAAACGCTATAATTTATATATATATATATATATATATGTCTATATATATATATGTCATTTTATACACGCACACGCACGCAGCCACCCGCACACGCACTCACACGCACGGCCATCACCCACCGCCTGGCCCCGGGCCACGCCGGCCCCGGCTCCCGCTCGAAGCAGCAAACGAGCTCCTTCTGATAAAATCTGCCTAAAAAAAAAACAAAAAAAAAACAAAAAACAAAAACCAAAATCCTCCAGAGCGCGGTCCAGGAGCCCACGGGCGGACCCCGCGCCCGGCCCCACCGTCCTCCGCCGGTGCCGGGGCGATGCCCGGCCGCTGTCCCGGGTGGCTCACTCCCGGTCGCCGTCTTCGCCGCTGCCTGCAACGAGCGGAGAAGCAGCGTGGGGGGGGGGGGTCCCGGCGCTCCCGTGGGACACGCGGTGCTTCCCCGGGCCGTGGGGTGTCCCGCACCCCCCCCCCCCCGGCTGGCCCCGGGGGACGGCAGCTCTCCGGAACCCCGGCGGGGGTGGGGGGGGGTGTCCCAGCACTCACCTCCTATGGAGCCCATGTCCGAGTCGGAGACGTGGGTGATGGAGAACCGGGAAACCGGGGCGGGCGAGACGGTGAACCGGGAGAACTGGATGGGCAGCACCTGCTTCTGCGCCGGCACCGGCACCAGCGCGGGCACGGCCGGCTCCGGCTCCGCCGGCGTCCCCGTCAGCGCGGCCATCAGGGACGGCTTCACCGGCACGAGCGGAAAGTCGTCGTCCCACTCGAAGCCGCCGCCTGCGACACGGAGCCGGGGGGCTGAACCCACCGCGAGGGTCACCCCAGCCCGCTCGCCGTACCCCCACCCCCCCCAACCCAACCCCTTACTTTCTTCTGACACGTTGCCCTCCGAGGAGTCATCCGAGGCGCCGAGCCTGTCCGCCGGGCTGGGGGGGCTGTCGGTGGCGGGGGGCTGCCCCGGAGGCTGGGGGGGCTCTGGGAAGCTCTGCTCAGCCAGCTCCCGCGTGGGGCTTTCCTGCACAAAGGGAAGGGACCCTCGCTGGAGGCACGCCCGGGGACCCGCGCACAAGGACAGCACCCAAAAACCCCGCGGGGCCCAGCGCCCGGCTCTGCCCACGCCCCGCGGCCGCCCACCTGGTCGAAGAGGTAGATGGTAACATCGTCGTAGAAGGAGACGGCCTTCTTCTTGCGCTCCAGGTCCTCGCAGAAGGCCTCGGAGAGCAGGCTGGGCATCTTGAGGAGGCTGCGCAGGTTCCTGCCGCTCTGGCTCTCGGCCACCACGATGGGCACGGCCGCCGGCTCCTCCTCGCTCTCCTCGCTTTGCTCCTGGATGTTGTAGCAGCGCAGCTCCTCGTCCGACTCGTCGCTGTCCTCTGTGTCCTCCTCCTCCTCCTCCGGCTCCTCACGGTGCTCGGGGGCGGCCGGCTGCAGCTCCCGGGTGGACGGGAGTGGGGAGAAGCCCGGGGGCGATTCGCTCCCCGGTAGCAACGTGCTGGGACCCCCTGGCGCATCGCCCACCCCAGTCCCCAGCCCCGGTTCCCCAAGCCCCAGCGCGGGGGGCACAGTCTGTTCACCCCCGGCTACGGCTCCCCTAAGTCCAGGGGTGCCCTCGGGCACGCAGGTCCCTCCGATGGGTGCCGGCTCCCCGGGGCTCGCCGGCACCGGGGTCAAGAGGAAAGTCTTGGGCGACGCAGTGCCCGGGGAACAGGCGTCTCCGTCGGGGCACGGGGAGCTGCCTGGCACTAGCCCCGTGCCAGCGGGTCGCTGCTCGGTGCCAGGCGCCTGCCCCGTGGGGCCGTCCGGGGGGGTCCCGACCCCTGCCCCCTGCCAGTCCCCCACCAAAACCCCCACCACCGGCACGTCCGCTGCCATCGCAACACCTGGCGCTGCCGGGGGGCTGCCGGGTGCCCCCGGGGGGTGCAGTGGGTCCTCTCCCAGCCCGGGTGCTCGCCCTAGGTCCTGCACAGGGGATCGGGGACCTTCCTCTGCCTCTGGGGTCCGGGACCCGTCGCTGTCCTCCTCATCCTTGGGGCCACGCTCGGCCTCGGCATCGTAGTCCGAGAAATAGGCAGAGTCGCGGTAGGGGTTCTTCTCGGCGAGGCTGTGCAGCTCGGCCCCGAGGGAGGTGGAGAGCCGCGTTTCGGGGGCCGAACCCTCGCCCTCGCCCCCCGGCAGTCCCGGGGGTGGCTTCCCCAGCTGGCTGAAGGCCTCCGGCTCTCGGGGCTCGTGGGGCTCTTTGAGGACGAACTCGGGGGACTCGTTGTTCTCGGTGTCGTAGCCGCTGTCGAGGGCTTTGGGCTGGCCGGCGGGCGCAAAGGCGGTGGGGCTGAAGACCTCGCAGGAGCTGGCGGTGGAGGGGATGTCCAGCGACTCCAGGGAGTCCGGCGTCCCCACCTGCTTCTGCAGGGACTTGAACGCCGGGGCCGCCTCCGCCCGCTCCACGTAGTCCCCGGAGAAGTCGGTGAAGACACCGGAGTTCAGCTCCGCCGTGTCCTCGTCGCTCCCCTCCTCCACGCTGGGGAAGCTGGCGCTGGAGAAGGTCTTGTCCGGCGTCTGGTCCGCGTCGCCGGCAGCACACGGGCCGCTCTCGGCCGCAGCCTCCCCGGGCACCGGTGCGGGCACCTCGGAGGTATCCGGCGCGGGTTGGGAGCCGTCTGTGCCAGGCTCGGCGGGGGGGCCGGGGTTCGGGGCAGCGGTGCCAGCCATGGGGGTGGCCTCCCCCGTCCCCGGTGCAGGCGTGGCGTGGGGCGGCGGGCTGCGGGCAGGGCTGCTCGCCTCCGCGCTCTCGTCCGGGCGGGCATCGTGCTGGGCCCCTGCTCCAGCTGGCAGGGCCGTGCCGGGGCCCCACGGCGTGCCGGGGCTGCCAGCCAGCGCTGCTGCCTGCGAGCGGCCGGAGGTTGATGAGTCACGGCTGTGCCAGGCCTGGCGCCACGGGGAGGGCGAGCGGCACGGGGAGGAGGAGCCGCCGGCCATGCCGGGGGGCTGATCCTGCCGCGGGCGGCGGAAGTCACATCCCGGCGGGGACCCCCCAAGCTGGGGCTGGCCGCGTGGCACGGTGCCCAGCGGCTTGGCCATCAGCCCCCGGAAGGTGATCATGCGGCGGTAGCACCAGCTGTCTCCGGCCGGGGCCTCGCGGGACGCCGGGCTGCCGCTGCTGATGTTGTTGTTGGAAGAGCTGTTGGAGGCCCAGGGATGCCGCGGAGACGGGGGGCTCGCACCCTGCGGGCGGGGGGCACCGGGGGGGCTGTCCTCACCCAGCTCCAGCGCCACGCAATCCGGCCGGGTCCCGCCCGGGGGGGCTGCCCGCCGCTCCCCGTACCCCCGGGGGCTGTAGGCGCAGTTCACCGAGGGGGAGACGCCCAGGGGGTCGGCGAAGATGCTGGGCTGGAAAGCGGGGACGGGCCAGTCCTGGCTGCCCGGCTGGGGGGGCTCCTCCTCCAGCAGGTACCCCTCAGCCCCGTGGCTGGGGGACGGCTCGTAGCCCCGCGGCTCCTGCCCCGGGCAGGGGTAAGGGTAATATTCGGCGCATTCCCAGGACCCCTCGCCCACCGGCGCGTGGCCCAGCAGCGGCTCCATGCTGAGGGAGACGGTGGGACTGCTGTCAGAGTCGTAGGCGCTGCCGCTCCGGGCACCTTGGGCTCTCCAGCAGGACGGGGGGCGCGGGGACCCCCGCTCGCCCGCCGGGCTGTAGGCGCACATGGCGTAGTCCAGCTCGGCGCTGCCCTCCCCGGGCCCCTCGATGCGGATGTAGTACTCGCTGCCGAGCGAGGGGCTGTGGGCGCCCAGGATGGGCACCACGCCGGGTGCCGGCAAGCCGGGGCAGCCCGCCGGCTTGCACTCGTAGCAGGAAGGCGAGACCCCCAGGCTCAGGCGCCCCGCGGTCGTGGCCGGGTAGTAAAGGTCGTGGTAGCGGGCGGCACTGCTGGGGCTCAGGGACCCCAAGGGCGCCTGGAAGTGCTCGGTCTTGGTGTGCTCCCACTTGTACTCAAAATTGAGGCCGTGGCTGGTCTCCATGACCGTGAGGATGTCGTCCCCATCCGAGGGGAAGCCGTCGGCCGAGAACTGCTCCAGCAGCGGGAAGGAGGAGAGCTCGGGGCCATGGTGGCTGGTGCTGGCGCTGCCGTTGGGTTTCATGGAGTTCCAGCGCTTCTCGAACTCCTCCTCCGCTTCCGTGGCCCCTTTGGCGCAGAGGTAGGAGAGCAGGAGGTGCACCTCCTCCGCCGTCGGGCGCTGCTCCGGCTGCAGCCAGCAGAACTGCATCACCTCGTACCTGCCGCGGCGGCGAGGGGCGAGGGTCAGCCCCGGCCCCCCCCCCCGCCCGCCCGCCTTGCCCCAAGCGCCTGGGGATGGGGAGAGGGAAGGGGCAGGATGCGGCCGCAGCCCGGCCCGGGTCCTCACCAGCGCTCCGACAGCGAGAGCTTCAGCTGGGGCTTGGGCAGCTTGAGCTGCTGCTCCTTGATGGCGTAGGCGAGCACTTGCCGGTCGGAGTAGTGGTCGTAGGGCTGGCTGCCCAGCTCAAACAGCTCCCAGATGGTGACGCCCAGCGACCTGCGGGCACGGCGGGATGCTGGGGGCACGGGGACACCCCCGTCCCCGCTACTGGCTGGCGGCCCCAAAACCAATCCACCCCGACGCATCCCTTTGGGGCTGCCCTCGTGCCGGACACCTCCCTCTGCACCAGCCTGATGCCGTGCCCAGCCGCAGCCCCCCCGCCGCGCCTCCCCCCGGCCCCACTCACCAGACGTTGCTGGACTTGGTCTGGTCCACGATGAGCAGGTTGCCGTGCACTTCGTCGATGAGCTCGGGCGCGATCCAGCGCAGCGGCACCCACAGCTGGTCGGCCGTCACGAAGTAGTCGTCCTGCCAAGTATGCAGGGTCAGTACGAGAAGAGAACGTCAAACCTACGCGTAAGGGACCGGCCGCACCGTGGCAAGAGCTGCCCCCGGCCCCGCCACCCCCTGCCCACCCCAGCCACCCTTCGCTGCACCCCGGGACCCTGCTCCCCCCCTCCTCAGCTCCTCCTGCACCCACCTCTCCCTTCTGCCTCCCACCTTTCCTCCCCTCTGCCTGCCCACCCTGTCTCCCCACCCTGAGCCCCCCCACGGCCCCCCTCCCGCTGCCCCCCCTTCTCCGCTCCCCAGCCCTGCCGGGAGCCGCAGGCAGCCAAGAGCGGGCAGGACAGACGGACAGTCCCAAGCCTGGCAGCTGCCTGCAGGGACCTGGCCCTGGCAGAGGGGCACATCCAGGCAGTAACGGGGAGCCCTGGCTGCACTGCACCCCGCTGGGCAAGGGGCCAGGGCACCCCAGTTTGTGCTCAGGGAGGGCTGCCAGCCCGGGGGGAAGGCGACAAGCCTGGGGGCAGCCGGGTCCTGGGGTACAGGGTCCCTTACAGGGTGCTCTGTGGGACAGCCCCCCCCCCCACCCTCCATTGCCCCAGCAAAGCCCAGGGGCTGCCCCAGCACCGCTGGGGAGGGGAAATCTGTGCATGAAAGAAGGGGGGGCGTGTTGCAGGGCTCAGTGCAGTGTGTGCCGTGGGGTCCCGGTGCGCAGCCCCCCCCCATCCCCCTCCTCCCCCAAACCAGCCTTACTTTGTACTTGCAGTGCGAGAGCCCATAGTCTCCGATCTTGACGGTGAGGTCGGCGGTGAGCAGGCAGTTCCGCAGGGCCAGGTCGCTGCCAAGCAAACCCCAGTGCTGTCACCACCACCACGGCGGGGTGGGGGGGAGGAACGGGGGGCACCCACCACCCGGGGAGCCGCGGGTCTGTGCTCAGGGACCCCCCCCCCCCAACGCTGGGCAGCGGTGGGAGCGGGACGGCCGTGCAGCAGCGAGGCCAGCGGTCTCTCACCGCCGCACGCCGGGCGTGCCGATAACCGGCCGCCAAATGCACAGCAGGAATGCCTGCACAGCTCCAGCTGCGCCTCCGTCCGTCCGTCCGTCCATCCGTCACGCGCTGAGCCAAGCAGAAAGCGGGTGTCCCCGGGCAACATGAGCCCTGGCACGGGGCCGGGCTCCTGGGCGGCTGCTCCAGCTCTGGAGGGGGTCACGCAGACGGGACACACGCGAGACCCCTCCCCGGTGTAGCCCACTGCGGCCGGGATGCCCGGAGGAAAGTCGCCCAGCACAGCCGGGGACCCCACATCCCCCCCCAACCACAGCCCTGGGCACCCTTGTGGGGACCCACCCGCAGAGCCTGGCTCGGGTGGGGAAGGTCTGGCGGCCCCCGATGGCAACGCACCCCCTCCTCAACAAAATCACTGATGCTGGAGTCTCCATCTGCAACTCACTCAGCACCAGGATATTGTTGGGCAGGAGGAGCAGCGGCGGGGCGGGAACGGCGGCATCCTGGGGACCCCACACATCCTGGACACCCCCCCCCCCAGTCCCCCCCTCCCGGGGCTCCAGGCCAGCCTACCTGTGGATGTAGTTGTTCCTGTGGAGGTGCAGGACACCGCAGGCCACCTCGCACGCCATCCTCTGCAGCGTCAGCGGGTCCGGGGTCATGGCCTCGGCCCCCCGGCAGCTCCGCAGGTACCCCTTCAGGTCACCCTGCAGGGCAGTGCCACTGTCACGCCACCACCCCCCCCTCAACGCTTGGCTTGCCATGCCCCAGCCCCGCAGCAACACTTTGGGGGAGCAGGACAGGGCATGGGGGGGGGGGGGGGGGGGACACACGGGGGACTCACCAGCGGGCAGAACTCCATCACCAGCAGGTACGGGGTGACCTCGGCGCACTGGGCCAGGCACTGCAGCAGGTTGGTGTGCTGGAGGGCCCTGTGCAGGGCAGAGCAAGCCCGGGGGTGGGGGGGGCACATCAGCACCACGCCAGCGCGGGTGGGGGTACAGCAGCAGCCCCCCGGGGAGCCATCTCTCCCTGCCTCTTCTGCTGCTGCGCTGGGAGCCAACGCGGGGGCTGCCGGGAGCGGGTACCAGCACGTCCCAGCGCTCCGGGACACACCACAATGGGACATTTGTTCAGCTCTGCTGGGCAGGGAGCAGCTCCACGCCCCCCCCGTCCCCCCCCCCCATCCAACTTCGGCCTCGCTCTGTCCATGACCTCACCGCATCCCGCTGCCCCCGCGCCGCGGCCGCTGGCTCCCGGCACAGCCCTGGTCCTGCCGCAACGGGGCTGGGACAAAGCTGTGCTGCCCGCAGAGCCCAGCCGGGCACCCCCACGGTGTCACGGAGTGGACCGGGCACCATCCGACAGCATCCCCGCTGCCGGCTGTGCCCAGCGCAGCGCCGGCACCGCGGAGCGACCCGGGACGTTACCTGTAGGGCTGAGCCTCCTCCAGGAACTGCATCTGGTCCTGCACGCTGGCGCTCGCCTTCAGCTCCTTCACCACCACCTGGGTGCTGCTGATGCCCGAGTTCACCTCCCCCAGGAACACCTGGGGCGAGGGACAGGCTCATCCCCTCCGTCCTCACCCCAAACCCCGTCTTGCACAGCCCAGCACCCCCAGCGGGGTGTCCCCGGGGGACCGTGCCCCTCACCTTGCCGAACCAGCCGTGCCCGATCTCCTTCAGGTAGAGCAGGCTCTGCCGCCCCAGGTCCGCCGATTTGAGGAGCTGCACTGTAACAGAGCACATCCAGCTGCCCGCACGCCCAGCCCGCCCGCCGTACCCGGTCGAGCCCCGGTATCCCCGCCGTGCCACCCGGTGCCAGGCCCTGCGCTGCCCTGGGGGGGGTCCGGAGCAGCCCCCACAGCAGCCACCCCCAGGCACCCTGCAGCCAGAGCATCCTCCCATCCAGGCATCCACCCTGCAGCTGCGCCGGCCGGGGGACGCAGGGGACCGGTGCCCCCAAGCCGGGCGATGGCGGGGAGCTGGCTCCTTGCCCTTTCTCCTCCCCGGGGAGAGCGAAGCCGAGCCCCGCGGGAGCTCTGGCATTTAGCCCCTTCCCAGCCCCCCCCCCTCTCCCCTCCCCACCCCACCCCGGCGCAGGTCCTGCCCCCCCGGGCACCCATGCCAAGGGTGGGCAGCAATGGGGCCATTGTTGGGCTGCGCCTCGCACCGCGCCGGCCCCGCCACACTGCTGCCATTCTCCGGGCCGGGGAGCGACGCTGGGCAGGAGGGGGGCCGGCACACCCCCCACCCCACCCCCCACCCCCAACATTCCTCTCCCACTCGTGAGTTGTTTATGCGGGTGCCGCGGTTTGGGGTGCCCGTGTCCCATCCCACCCCGGTGGGGGTCACGCTGCTAGCCCGGGGCTGGGGACAAGCCACCGGGACCCTTGCATAGAGGGACAGTGGCTGCTGCCCCGGGGCTGGGGACAAGCCACCGGGACCCTTGCATAGAGGGACAGTGGCAGCCCCCCCTCCCCGAGACCACGGCTGCCTGTCCCCTGCCCGCGGGGGCTGTCCCTCCTTAGCAGGGGGATCATCATCCCCACCCCACCCTGCCGCCCCCTCCCCGCAGCCCGACCACAGCACACATTGGGGGGGGGTCCCACACAGCCCATCGCCCCCACCCCGGCTTACCTGAGCGCCCCGGCTGCTTGGCCATGGGCAGGGAGACCTTGGTGAGGGGCAGGACGTAGACCTCGGGGCCATGCTGGGGGGCAGGCGAGCCCTGGGCCGAGAGCTCCGTCACGTAGTCGTCCCCCTCGGCGTTCTCAAACTCCTGGGCCCAGGGGGGCGTGCGGGGTGGGGGGGGGGGCACACACCGAGCAGAGACCACTGACCCCGCGGGTCCCCCGCTGCCGGCAGCCTGCCCCACGCAACCCCCACACACACCCCCACCCCTACCCCCACCCACTTCTGCCCACCGGGACTACCCCTGCACGGCGCGCACCCATGGGGACCCCCGAAATCACGCACACCCCCAGTTCTGCCTGCACCCCGCTGGCAGACACCACCACCCACCATCCCACCCCCCCTCCACGGGGCTGGCCCCTGGGGCAGGCACCCACTCCCCCACCGTTACCTGGCTGTGCCGCCCCGCCAGCCTCCGGCTCCCGAAAGCCGCCTGGGCGAGCAGGTAGGCGATGGTGAGCATCTCGCCCTGCTCCAGCCCAGCCCTGCCTCATGGTGCTGCCAACCCCGCCATGCGCCGCGACCCGCCGGACACGGGCAGCGGCCGGCCCCGGCCGTGCACCCCTATATAACCGGGGCGGGGGCACGAGGGGGCTCATTGTTCCCCTCCGGCGTGGCGAGGTGCTGCGGCCGGTGTGGGACGGTTACACAACGGCCCCGGCGTGTCCCGTCCCCCCCTCCCCTTCTCCGCCTGACCCCCTCCCGCCGCGGGCGCCACAAGCCTCCACAAAAATCCCAGCAATTAGGGAAAAACCGTTTCTCGGCACATTCTGTGCCTGTGAGGTCAGGGTGCCTCCCACCCCCGGGGGCGTGCGGGTGGGACCGCTGCGGCCCTTAACCATAGCGTGGCCTGGCCCCGCGCAGAGCCGGGAGCCCGGATGGGTCAGGATACGGCCCGCAGAGATGCTGAGCCCCACAGCATCCAGGGTCTGTGCAGAGCTGAGAACCCGGATGGGTCAGGATATAACCCCCAGTGATGGTGAGACCCACAACGTCCATGCTCTGCGGAGCAGGGAGCTTGGCTGGGTCAGGATATGACCCCCAGTGATGCTGAGCGCTACAGCATCCATTCTCTGTGCAGAGCGGGGATCCTGGCTGGGTTTGGATGTGGCCCACAGCGATGCTGAGCCCTGGCAGCACCCTGGCAGGCAGCGGGGGGGCTAAGGTCCCCCCTCAGCAATGTTCTCCTGAGCTGGGACACATCCTGCACCAGCGCTGGGGCCGGCCCTGGCAGCAGCAGGGGATCCTGCACCAGGACCCTCCAGGCACCTCCATCCTTCACTGAGCTCTGGGGGAGAAGCCCCCCACCCCACCCCCCAAGTCCCAGGGCAAGCCTGGCCTGGGGAGACCCCCCACACCCCCCCATCCCCAGCTCACCTTGAAGCCGATGTCCCCCTTCTTGCAGCACAGGCAGGCCAACATGAGGAAGATGAAGGTGAAGAGCCCCGAGAAGGAAACGGCCACCACGGCCAGCGAGGAGGACCAGGAGAGCTCACTAAGGGGGGTGCCGTCTGCGGGGACAAGAGGGGTGTGGGCTCAGGGTGGGGGGCTCGGGGGGGCGATGAGGCTGTGCTGTGGGGTCCTGCCCGGGAGAGGGGTCATGGGATGAAGGGGCACATCGGGGCTTTGCGGGGGAGCTCTGGTGGGGAGCGGGGGTCCCAGCACCACTGTACCCCCTTTGCTGGCTCAGCTTGTGGCCAGGATGGAGGGGGGGGGGGGAAGAGCCCAGGAGGGGCCCCCAGAGCCGAGGCAGGACCCTGACGGCAGCCTGCACTGAGGGGGTCGGGGGCATGGTCCCCATAGATGCAGGGTGGCAATGACACTATGGGGTGGGGGGCTGCACCAGCTCGGGGGTCCCGGGCACCCTTGCCTAGCTGAGCCCCCCAGCCCCGGGCTTTGCCCCTCCGGCGGGTACGGCACCAGTGGCTGCAGCCCCCCGGGGAGGCCGGGATGCCCCCAGAGCCAGCTCCTGCCCCATCCCACCCACAGAGCTTGGGGACGAAATTCCCCAGGGGAAGGGTCTGCCAGTGCTGCCGGGAGCCCCCCAGCCCCGCACCGGCTCCGGACCACCGGGAGCAGGGATGGGGCTACTGCTGCTCCCGGCTCAGCACCGCACCCTCCAGGCAGCAGCACACCCCAACGTGGTCCCCAGCCCCCCGCGCCGTGCCCACAGGTCCCCGGGGGGTGGCAGGGGGCACGGTGGCAGCCGTGGCCCAGCTGCACGTCCCCACCAAGCCCCCGCCACCGGCAGCAGCTGCCGCATTACTATTCCACCCAGAGCCCGCCCGAACAACCGGCGCGATTGTGGTGGGAGGAAGCCGGAAGGCCACGGCACTGCCGGCGGCACCGGCCTCGCCGGGGGACCCACACGCAGCCCCACGGTGCCCAGCACGGTGCCCTCCCCACGGGACGCCGGGGCTGGGATGGGTGCTGAGCCATAACCCTTCCACGGTCACCACGGTGCATCTCCCCATCGCCGACCCCGCGCCGCAACCGTCTTCCCCCTCCGAGGCTTGACGCCGCGCTGCCGGCTGCGCCCCCCGCTCCGGCGTCCTTGAGAGCCACACCTGAAGGGCACCGAGGGTCTGGGGTTGGGGGGGAAGGTCCCAGCACCCCGGCGTGGGGGCACGGGGACACCCCGGCCCCGTGTGCTCCGGCACAGCCCAGGCCACGCCGAACTCTTTGCGGCGCTTGCGAAGGAGCTCAAGAGCCATCTTCTAAGGCTCGCGGATGCAAAGCCCAACCTGGGAGGAGCGGGGAGGGTTGTGGGGGGGTGGCATTCCCCCTCCTTCCAGCTGGTTTCCATGGTGAACACACTTTGTACCGAGAATGTCACCATTTTCCCTGGATAGTGGGACAGCGAGAAAATGACTCACTGAAAAAAGCCTTTTGAACGTCGACGGGGAGCCGAGCGCGGCGACAGGAGCCTTTGCAACGGGGACCGTCGGCGGGGCCGGCCCTCGGCTCAGGAACTGGCGCTTTGCAAACAAACCACGTTCCAAACCGACGGGCTGGTGAGGTCCGGCTGGTGCTGCCTCAGTTTCCCCACTCACACAACCAGCGAGCCGAGAGCCACGACCAGCCCAGCCCGGGCAGGGGGGGCACCACCACCGCCGTGACCCACCGCCACCGCCGGCCAGCTGCCCGGGCGAGCAAGCGCTGCCCTTCCCCGTGACCGCAGCGTTCGGGGCGGCGATGGGAGAAGTGGCATCAGTTCAGAGGCCAAATGCTCCCAAAACCAGGTCAAATGCACCTGCAGCTGCCGGAGCACGAAGAGCATCGGGGTGCAGGGAACAGGGCTGGCTGCACGTGGTGGGAAGGACCCCAAGGCTCTCAAGAGAAGCGGGGGTCCCCACCACATCCTGCACCCCATCCTGAGGCTCTGCTGCGCCTCTCTCCTGGGAAAAGCGGGGTCCCCCGGCAGCGGGGCGCAGCAGGATGCAACGAGGCACAGTGGGGTGCAGTGGGATGCACTGGGGTGCAGCAGGGTGCAATGAGGTGTAGTGGGGTGTAGCAGGATGCAGCAGGGAGCACCGAGGCACAGCGGGGCGCCGCGGGATGCAATGAGATGCAGCAGGACGCAACGAGGCGTAGTGGGGCGCAGCGGGGTGCAACGAGGCGCAAGGGGCACGCTCTGCCCTCCCACCCCATGCAGCTGCCACCGCGCACCCCACAGCTGGCAGAGCCCTGCCTGCACCCACCCCAGCCTCCCCCTCACCCCTCTCCCCCCCCCCACCCCCCAGTCTGTTGCATCGCCCACCCGGCCCTGATCGCAGCCCCGAACACCGGTTCCCAACAGGGATGGGAAAAAGCCGGGGGACACGGGGTGTGGGGTGCCGGCCCTGCAGCACGACGCCGGTGCCCGCCGTGCCGGCGGTGGAGCGCGGCCCTTCCCGGAGCCTTTGCTGACTCACGTTCGCCGGGTGTCTGCGGCCGCCTCGCCGGCCATGGCACGATGCTGCGGCCGCCGCTCGTCTCTCGCCGGCGGAGAGCGGAGCCCGGCACGGCGAGCGGCGGCTGACGTGTGCGGAAGGGACGAGCCAGGGGCTCCCGCAGAGCCCGGTGACAGCTCAGGGCTCCCAGCCTGCGCGAGGGACCAGCACCCAGCGCCTGCCCACCCACCCCAGCACAGGCAGGGCTGCCCAGCACCCTCCCCGAGCAGGCAGAGCACACGCCGGAACTCCAGAGCAGAAAACCGTGGGGCGCAGGGCTCACCGTGTCGTGACCCCCCTGCTCCCACCCAGCCTCTCGCTGGAGGACCTGGTGCAAGCCACAGCCCCGTGCCTCAGTTTCCCCATCTGTAATTCACACAGCATGGTTGCCCCCCCCCCACCACCCAGGACCGCCAAGGGGCTGTGCAGTGGGGTGAGGGCTCGCAGGGTCGCCCAGGAGGTGATGGATGCTCGAGAGCGTGGGCTACCCAGATCCCCCAGCACCTTCACCCCCACCCACAGCACCCACCCCATGAACCTGCCAGGCCCTGCACCCCAGGGTGCAGCCTCCTGGGCCAGGCTGCAGCACCCTGCAGCAGGCACCCAGCTGGGAGAGGCTGGATTCGGGCAGGGAGCAGGATTTGGGCAAGGAGCAGGGCAGGATTCAGGCAGGGTTCATGCAGGATTGGGGCAGGGAGCAGGATTCAGGCAGAGAGCAGGGCAGGATTCAGAGAAAATTCGGGCAGGGAGCAGGGCAGGATTCAGGCAGGGAGCAAGGCAGGATTTGGGGCAGGACTCGGGCAGGGAGCAGGGCAGGATTCGGAGAAAATTCGGGCAGGGAGCAGGGCAGGATTCGGGCAGGATTCAGGCAGGGAGCAGGGCAGGATTCAGGTAGGGAGCAAGGCAGGATTCAGGCAGGGAGCAGGGCAGGATTCGGGCAGGATTCAGGTAGGGAGCAAGGCAGGATTCAGGCAGGATTCAGGTAGGGAGCAAGGCAGGATTCGGGCAGGATTCAGGTAGGGAGCAGGGCAGGATTCGGGCAGGATTCAGGTAGGGAGCAGGGCAGGATTCGGGGCAGGATTCGGGGCAGGGAGCAGGGCAGGATTCGGGGCAGGGAGCAGGGCAGGATTCGGGGCAGGATTCGGGGCAGGGAGCGGGGCAGGATTCAGGCAGGGAGCAGGGCAGGATTCGGGCAGGATTCGGGCAGGGAGCAGGGCAGGATTCGGGCAGGGAGCAGGGCAGGATCCAAACACACAGGACCCATCAGCACCTCCAGCCATGGGCTCAGCGCTCCCCTGCCCCGGCTGCTCTCCCGGCACAGACACATCCCCAGTAGCTTGTTAATCCCCTGGTCGATGGGCAGCGTCCAGAAAAGCAATTTTACACCCCACAGGACAAGCGCTCTGCTCACCCACACGCATCCAGGCGGCAAGAAACCGCCCGCTGCCACTGAGCACGCGAAGGCCAGCCTGCTCCGCACAGCCTGTCTGCAGCTCCGCGGGGAAACTGAGGCACCGGGAAGCTGGGCGGCGGGGAAGAAGCGGGATGGCCCCGGCTGCTGTACCCCCGCACCCAGATCCCCCCTCTGCCAGGAGCAGGGTGGGGGCTGGCACTGCCCACTCCCCACCAGTGCCCCCCGGGAGCCCGGCATGGAGCCGGTACCCACAGCATCTTCCACCGAGACACCGTGCGTGCCCTTGCCGAAAAGGGGGCACAAGGAAGCAACCCCCCCCACACACACACCCTGGAGACCTTCTCCCACCAGAAACAGCCAGGGGGCCATTCAGGCAACCTCTCCAGTGATTAACAGATTGGTTAATTTTAAATGCAAGGCACGCCTTGTTAATCTGTTCTCCTTATGTATCTTTTAATGTGGGCTTATTTAACCAATGCAGAAGTATTTTAAAAGGATTGATTCTTGCCTCTTAATTCTGGTTTTATCATCTTGGGATGAATTAGCGGTAAAAAAATAATTAGATGGAAAATAAAAAAAGATCATCCATCATTTTCTAACGTGATGAAATAAAAATTAGGACTGTAATAAGTGCAGGCCAAGCTGCATCATTGTTGTGCGTACACCAAGCGTGTCAGCCTGATTAGAAACAAAAAATCAAGTTCCTCCATCAAAGCCTGCCCTGCTGCAGAGCTGGGTTTCCAGACGACACAGCCCAACCATGATCAACCTTCTCCATTTTCTGAGAAAATAGTAATGTATAAAAGCGCATGCAAAGCAAGCTTCAGATGATTATTTAAGCCAAATTCTCTTGCTTAGTGTTTTGAATCAGGTCGGAGCTGGGGGCTGTAAAGCCTCCCGTGCCGGCAGGGATGCCACGGCCGCATCACGGCAAACCCGCTGTCCCGAGGGACAGGGAGTGACCTCGGGGGGGACTGTCCACCCATCCACCCGTCCCATCCCGGCCGTGCCCCGGCAGGGACCCCCCGCCAGCCCCGGGCCGGAGCGGTGCCGGTGCCCGGGGCTGCCCAGGAGCGTGGCACCGCGGTCCCACCGCCGGCCGAGACGCGGCTCTCGCCAACCGGCACAGCAGCGTTTACGTAACAGCGGGAGAGAGGCAGCGCGG